CCTTTGATACCTTGTTTATTGAGAATTTTTAGCATAAAGGGCTGTTGAATTTTGTCAAAAGCCTTCTCTGAATCTGTTGAGATAATCAGTTGATTTTTGTCTTTGGTTCCAATATGTGTTGGATTATGTTTATAGACTTGCTTACATAGAACCAGCCTTTCATCCCTGGGATGAAACCTACTTGATCGTGATGGATAAGCTTTTTGATGTGATGTTGAAATTGGTTTGTCAGTATTTTATTTAAGATTTTTGCATCTATGTTCATCTTGGATATTGGCCTGAAGTTTTCTTTCTTTGTTGAGTCTCTGCCAGGTTTTGATATCAGGATGATGTTGGTCTCATAAAATGATTTGGGAAGGATTCCCTCTTTTTGTATTGTTTTGAATAGTTTCAGAGGAATGGTACCAGCTCCTCTTTGTACGTCTGGTAGAATTCAGCTGTGAAACCATCTGGACTTGGATTTTTATTGATTGGTAAGCTATTAATTGCTGCCTCAACTTCAGCCCTTGTTATTTGTTTCTTCAGCATTTCAACTTCTTCCTGGTTTAGGCTGGAGAGGGTGCAAGTGTCCAGGAATTATCCATTTCTTCCAGGTTTACTGGTTTATGTGCATAGAGTTGCTTGTAGTAATCTCTGATGGTAGCTTGTATTTCTGTGGAGTCAGTGGTGATATCCCCTTTATGTTTTTTTATCGCATCTATTTGCTTCTCCCTTTTCTGTTTTATTAATCTGGCTAATGGTCTATTTTATTGATCTTTTCAAAAAGCCAGCTTATGGATTTACTGCCTTTTTAAAGGGTTTTTTGTGTGTCTCTACCTCTTTTAGTTCTGCTCTGATCTTAAGTTATTTCTTGTCTTCTGTTAGCTTTTGGGTTTGTTGTTGTTGTTGTTGTTGTTGTTGTTGTTGTTGTTTTATCATGCTCCTCTAGCTCTTTCAATTTTGATGATAGGGTGTCAATTTTAGATCTTTCCTCATTTCTCATTTATTGCTATAAATTTCCCTCTAGACCCTGCTTTATATGTGTCCCAGAAAGTCTGGTACATTATGTCTTTGTTCTCACTGGTTTCAAAGAACATCTTTATTTTTGCATTCATTTCATTGTTTATCCAGTCAACATTCAGGAACCAGTTGTTCAGTTTCCATAAACCTGTGTGGTTTTGAGTTAGTTTCTTAATTCTGATTTCTAATTTGATTGCCCTATGGTCTGAGAGGCTATTTGTTATGTTCTCTGTTGTTTTGCATTTGCTGAGGAGTGATTTACTTCCAATTATATGGTCACTTTTAGACTAAGTGCAATGCAGTGCTGAGAAGAGTGTATATTCTGGGGATTTGAGGTGGAGAGTTTTGTAGATGTCTATTAGGTCTGCTTGGTCCAGATCAGAGTTCAAGTCCTGGATATGCTTGTTAATTTTCTGTCCCATTGATTTGTCTAATATTGACAGTGGACTGCTATGGTCTCCCACTATTATTGTGTGGGAGTCTAAGTCTCTTTGTAGATCATTAAGAACCTGCTTTATGTACATGGGTGCTCCTGTATTGGGTGCATATATGTTTAGGATCATTAGCTCTTCTTGATGCATTGATCCTTTTACCATTTTGTAATGGCCTTCTTTGTCTCTTTTGATCTTTGTTGGTTTAAATTCCATTTTATCAGAGACTATGATTGCAACCACTGCTTATTTTTTTTTTTTTTTGCCCACATTTGCTTGATAAATCTTTCTCCATCCCTTTATTTTGAGCCTATGTGTGTCCTTGCTGACAATATTAACCTTGAATATAAATGGACTAAATGCCCCAATCAAAAGACACAGACTGGAAAATTGGGTAATAAGTCAAGACCCATTGGCATGCTGTATACACAGACTATATTTAAGAAATCTGAATTGGCATGGCATAAATCAGATTCATAAATCAATTTACTTTTCCAAATTAATTTTTATTCCATTAATTGGTTCTTAGGACCTGAAATACAATAGAGTGAATTAAATATTCTGGTCCTAATAAAATAGAACACTATTTTACATCAAAACAGGTTATTAGGTTCTGAAAAACATGATAGACTACTTGTCTGAAGATAGGCTCTATAAGAACACTTATATTTGAACATGCTTCATAAGTTATGTCTTAAAAATAATTTTCAAATACATTGTTGAGCTGGAGAGATAGCAAGAGAAATTCGTAGAAACCAGAGTCAAGAATACTGGGAGGCTGAGGTGGGAGGATCACTTGATCCCAAGAGGTCAAGGCTGCAGGGAGCCATGTTTGTGACACTGCAATCCAGCCTCCATGACAGTGAGACACTGTCTCAAATAAATCAAAACAATAGTAAACTTTAAAAGAATACATATAAGTAAGCTTGCATCAAAGCAAGAATTGCATCCAAGGTAGAAACTGTGGAATAGCTTCACCCTTTTCTTTCAATAATGCAAAAAAAACTTTTTGTGTTGGCTGTAATTGTCACAATACTGAGGAGGATGCACTCCTGTGTCTACTTTTAAAGCCAGGTCATGAGAAGTTTCTCCATATCTAATTTAAGTCATTCTCAAAGTTTTGTAAGCCTCTTTGCCTTCAATCAAGCAGATTCTTAAACAACTTCTATCACTCTGTTCTTGTTCTTCCTGATTGGAGCTATGACAAAATGAGACTGATGAGCAATAACCACCTCTGATTTTCCACCTTTGTAGTCCTTAATCACTTTTGTTTCCCAGTCAATCACTTATTGACAACACCACCTATTGACATTAGTCATGGATTTTGTATGCTTAGGGACCAGGAGGAACAAAATAACATAAGATTAAGCCAAGCACAAGAAAAAATGGAGCAATCAAGTTACACCATAAATGAGATGTATGAGGCTGCTGGCAATGTAACACAGCAAACTATTATACAGTAAACATTTTATAGGCACAAAGGGTACCCTCCAAAATGATGGTAAAAATATAATATAGTAAATACATAAACCAGTAACATGGTCAATTATTATCATTATTCATGGAAGCAGCAGCCCATCTGCAGTAGCAGCTGCCATGACACGGGCTGCAGGGAGAAAGGTGTGGCCAGAGCTGTGTTCTCCACTGAGCCAGCAGGAGCTGGGAACAGGTGAAAGCCTTGCCTGCTTCCAAGTTGGAAGGGTAGGCACCTCACCTCCCTTGGTGCAGCTGCAGTTGCCAGCCACAGCTGCAGAACCCTAAGCTCAGAGGTGCCTGCACCTCCTGCCTGGACTCTCCCTACTCCAGGCTCCCACTTTGATTTTGGAACAAAGTTATGGCTGAGCTCAGGTGTCTGTTGCAACCCATCCAGGTGTGCCTGTGCTCAGAGTGGTGCTGGCATGCCAGCTCTCTGCTGCCCTGGCCCCCTCCAAACTTTGGGCCCCAACAATACAGGAGAGAGGCTAAGGGGGTTATTAAGGGTGGCTCCGGCACAGACCTGCAGGCACACCTCAGCTTGAACAGCCTGGACCTGTGGATGGCATGGTGACAGCAGCAAAAAGCTGACAAGCTCCTGGGTAGAAAGGAGTGGTTCCCTGGTGAAGGCCCACCTTCAGGCCTAGGACAGGCTGCCAGTTCCATGGACTGGAGTGAGAACATATGGTGCTTTTTCCAGGTGCACTCATGGCTGCCCATGGACCAATCAGCACACATTTCCTCCCCTCTGAATCCCTTTAAAACCATTCTCTGCTGAGAGCTGAACAGAAGTCAAGATGTCCTGCCTGCGGAAAGGACCTACCCACTGTGGGTCTCCTCTCTGCCTAGTCTGTTCAGAGCTAAAAGGATGTCGGGAGGACCTGCTGGTGAAAAGGAGCTACCCACTGTGCGTCTTCACTCTGCTGAGAGCTGGACACTCATCGAGGTGACCTGCCTGAGGAGAGGAACTACCCACTGTGGGTCCTTTCTGAGCTGTTCTGTCAATAAAGCACCACTTTGCCTTGTTCACCCTCCACTTGTTCATGTACTTCATTCTTCCTAGAAACAGGACCCAGCAAATGGCAGGGCTGAAAGAGCTGTAACACAAACAAGGCTGAAGCATGCCCCTTGCTTGCCATGTTGCAGGTAATGAGAAGTAGAGGAGAGAAGGAGAGACGAGCTCCAGCCCTTTGGGGGCCCCAGACCTAGCAGCTCCCTGACCCAGGGCTGTGACATCCTCTTGGGGACTCTGTGGTTCCTGGAATCTCCCAGCTTTTGGGTGCACCACCTTCCCCAGTGCCAGCCATGGAGATTGCTTGCAGTATGCCTGGTCCAGCCACAGTCTCACAAGGAAATGACACCTATGTTGGTGCCAAGAGCTGCCTGCCCCACCAAAGCTGGCATGCCTGACTATGCACAGTGGCTAGACCCCACACTTGCTCACTCACAAAACTCTGATTGCTCTGCACCAGGTTTACCCTTGGCAGGTGTAGAATCCAGGCTAGTAGTGTAATTTGAACACAGCCTGCCAGGCTGAATGGGTGCAATGAGCCAAACAGGCCTGAGCAAAACCCAGGCAAAGGCACTACTGGCCATGGAGGTTTCTGGCCAGAATAGCAATACCCCCAGGATCTGGTGACACTATCACGTACTATATAGTGTATGTAATTGTACATGCTATACTTTTGTACAACTGGCAGTGTAGTAGGATTGTTTATACCAACATCATCACAAATATGTAGCCAATGCATTGAACTATTACGTTTAAATGGCTATGACATCACTAGGTGACAGGAATTTTTCAGCTCTATTGTAATCTTATGGGACCACTATCATTTATGTGGTCTATCATTGTTATACTGTTAATGATTGTGCAAACACATACAAATAAGTGCAACTATCATACTGAAAAATTAAGATGCTAATATAATTGTGTCCTACAACCATAGCCTTCAATTCCCATAGAAGAAAATACATTGAGTGTAGAAAAAGATAGGATATGATTAAGAAATAATATCATCTTGAAAATGTGGCTATGCAAGATAGAATTTTAGGGCTACCTATATATGTGATATTGTTTGTAGAAAACTTTTTACAGTGCTCACTTAAGCAGCACATATACTAACATCTGAACAATACAGAGAAGATTAGCATGACCCCTATGCAAGGACGATGCAAAATTCATAAAGCATTCCATATTTTGAGGACCTCTTCAAGAAGAACTACAAACCACTGCTAAAGAAATTAGGAATGACACAAACGAAAAATCATTCCATGCTCATGCTTAGGAAGAACTGACATTGTGAAAATGGCCATACTGTCCAAAGAAATTTATGGATTCAGTGTTATTCTCATTAAACTACCATTGACATTCTTCACAGAATTAGAAAAAAGAAACTATTTTAAAATTCATATGGAACCAAAAAAGAGCTTGTATAGCCACCAAGGCAATCCTAAGCAAGAAAAAAAAAAAAAGCTATAGGCATAACACTACCTGGCTTCAACCTATAATAAAGGCTATAGTAACTAAAATAGCATAGTACAGGTACAAAAACAGGCACATAGACCAGTGGAACAGACTATAGAGCCCAGAAATAAGACCACACATCTACACCCATCTCATCTTCAACAAACCTGACAAAAACCAACAATAGGAAAAGGATTCTCTGTTTAATAAATGATGCTGGGAGAACTGGGTCGTCACAGGCAGAAAATTAAAAATGAATCACTTCCTTACACCATATACAAAAATCAACTCATGATGGATTAAAGACTTAAATGTAAAACCCAAAACTATAAAAACCCTAGAAGTGAAATCTAGGCAATACCATTCAGGACATAGGCACAGGCAAAAAATTTCCTGATCAACAGGCCATGAGCAATTGCAACAAAAGCAAATATTGGCAAAGTTGATCTAATTAAACCAATGAGTTTCTGCACAGCAAAAGAAACAATCATCAGAGTGAATAGAAAATCTACCAAATGGGAGAAAATTTTTGAAATCTATCCATCTGGCAAAAGTCTAACATCCAGTATCTACAATGAACTTAAACAAACGTACAAGAAAACAACAAACAAACCTATTGAAAAGTGGGGTTGGTCACGGTGGCTCATGCCTATAATTCCAGCACTTTGGGAGCCCAAGGTGGGTGGATCATGAGGTCAAGAGATTGAGACCATCCTGGTCAACTTGGTGACACCCACCCCATCTCTACTAAATATACAAAAATTAGCTGGGCATGGTGGCACAGCCTGTAGTCCCAGCTACTCAGGAGGCTGAGGCAGGAGAATTGCTTGAACCTAGGAGGTGGAGGTTGCAGTGAGCCAAAATCGCATCATTGCACTCCAGCCTGGGTAACAAGAGCGACACTCCATCTCAAAAAAAAAAAAGTGGGCAAAGAACATGAACAGACACTTCTCAAAAGAAGACATAGATACAGCCAACAAACATGAAAATCTCAGCATTATTGATCATTATAGAAATGCAAATCAAAACCATAACGTACCACTATCTCACATCCATCAGAATGGCTATTATCAAGAAGTCAAAAACAACAGATCCTGGCAAGGTTGTGAAGCAAAAGGAACACTTTTACCCTGTTGGTTGGAGTGTAAATTAGTTCAACCATTGTGGAAGACATGGTGGCAATTCCTCAAAGACCCAAAAGCAGAAAAATATTTGACCCAACAATCTCATTATTGAATATATACTCAAAGGAATATAAATTATTTTATTATAAATATATATCAACACATATGTACGTTGTAGCACTATTCATAATAGAAAAGACATGGAATCAACCTAAATGCCCATCCAGGATAGACTGGATAAAGAAAATGTGCTGCATATGTACCATGGAATACCATGCTGCTATAAAAGGGAATGAGATTATATCTCTTACAGAAACATGGGTGGAACTGGAAGCCATTATCCTCAGCAAACTAATGCAGGCAGAGAAAACCAAATGCTACGTGTTCTCACTTATAATTGGGAGCTAAATGATGAGAACACACGGACACAGAGGGAAACAGCACACACTGGGGCCTCTTACAGGCTGGAGGGTGGGAGGAGGGAGAGTATAAGGAAGAATAGCTAATGGATGCTGAGTTTAATACCTAGGTAATGGGATGATTTGTGCAGCAATCCACATGGCACAGATTTAACTTCAAAGTTGAAAAGAAAAAAAAAAAAATATATATATATATATATATATATATATATATATATATATATATTTTTTTTTTTTTTTTTTTTTTTTTTTTTTTTTTTTTGAGACAGAGTTTCGCTCTTGTTACCCAGGCTGGAGTGCAATGGCGCGATCTCGGCTCACCGCAACCTCCGCCTCCTGGGCGCAGTCAATTCTCCTGCCTCAGCCTCCTAAGTAGCTGGGATTACAGGCACGCGCCACCATGCCCAGCTAATTTTTTGTATTTTTAGTAGAGACAGGGTTTCACCATGTTGACCAGGATGGTCTCGATCTCTCGACCTCGTGATCTACCTGTCTCGGCCTTCCAAAGTGCTGGGATTACAAGCTTGAGCCACCGCGCCCGGCCCTCAGAAAATAAATATTTTTAGAAGAAAGAAAAACAGTTTGTTTTTCATAAAACCTGGACCAATGAATATTGTTTTCAAGTGTGGGATTATGAGAAATTTGCAAATACATACTTATTTATTTAGTGGGAAATTCAGCATAATATGTTGCAAACTGTTGATTTGGTTCTCAACCTAGTATCAATAAAAAAAATACACATAAACAGTTATCAAATGAGACTTAAAGTTTCCCTCAATTTAACTAAAATTAAGACAATCGTTTTCCTACCTGTTGGCCCTGATTCCCTTTTCGATTTTTCATTGACTTTAGCAAACTTATAATTTCAAATTCTCACTCCGTCCCTTTAAGATACACAACTTTTTAAAAAACCTCTTGGCAGTTTTACAACCCAGCACTTTCTCAAATATTTGGGAGCCATCTCTTCGGAACTGTTGTTATTAAGGAAGGAATCACCCCTACCTCGAAGTCTTAGGAGAGATTAGAAGCCTAACTTAAACTAAACAGGCATTGATTACCAAACACAAATGGCCTCATGCGGGACAAAAGCATTTGCAAACTCAGTAATGACTATGTGCCCCTCACATTCCCTTAATCAACCTTCCCTGTAATTTCTTCAGTACTTTCCTATTAGTTCACCTAGTGCTTAGAAACGATTCCGCGTTTATTTTGGTGGAGCTGAGTTTAGTTTCTCACCCAAGTATAATAGTAACAGAGGTAGAAAGAAATATATTTAAGCAGATAGTGAGGCTAAGAGAGTCCTCAGCAGAGCTTCGCTTTTAACAAAAAGCTACCCCCAAATCATTTCTTTTTAAACAAAGTTTAGCCTGAAATCCGAGCTGCAAACGTAGACGAGCAAGCTGGCAGCTTTCACAGGTAAATGCTGGCAGCTGTGCCAATAGAAAAGGGCTGAGGGCCAGGTATGTTCAACATGGAGACTCCATCTTCCCTTTCCTTTGTTACCACGTGTACAGTAAAGCAACAGGCAACAGGGTGCTGGCCAGGTAAAGGACACATCCTCACGACAGAAGATTGCTGGGAGGTGCAGGGGCCAGCGTGCTTTTCGCACCCGATGCAAATGGAACACCTAGCCCTAATCAGTTTTTGCGCCTTAAGCAAGTGACACACAGGGTCCAACCAATTTTTCGTGCTCTTTATAAATCAGACACCGCCTTTTCAATCTCATCTATAAACCTCTGCGTTTTTCCATGCACCAGGAAATCTGTTCGGGACCCTTCTCTCTGCGGCAGAGAGCTACTCTCTTTCTTTCACCTATTAATTTTTTGCTCTGAACCTCCCTCTGTGTGTGTCTGCGTCCTAGTTTTCCGTGGCTGTGAGACAACGAACATTGAGTATCACCCCAGACAATGAGGCAGCTTCAAGAGCTTGAATAAAATTTTTCTAGCCTGTTTTACTTTGCCATGTGTAATTTTTGCTTTGACAATAGTATAATGATGTTATTTGTTTTTCCTCTTTCTTGTGCTCAAAGAAATAATACAGATTGAATATCCCTTGTCTGAAATGCTTGGGACCATAAATTATTTTCAATTTTTGATTTTTTCAGATTTTAAAATATTTGCATTATAATTTCTGGTTCAGCATTCCTAACTTTAAAATGCACAATCTGAAATATTCCAATAAGCATTTTATTTGAGCATCATATCAGCACCCAAATTTCTAGATACTGGAACATTTCAGATTTTGGATTTTCAGGTTAGAGATACTCAACTTGTCTTCAAAAGCTAATTGCTAGATATATATTGGAATAAATAAATGGAATCAGTGTAATGCTTCATTTTATTCTAATGTTTGGTATGCATACATGTATAAATGCATCTGTTGGAAAACTTCACTGTCAACCGTATTTCCCTGACTCTGGTCCTATTTCTTTGACAGCTCATGATTTTGATCACTCTCTTAAGTCTTGGTCCATGTATTTAGAGTTTAGAGACTACAAAGCACAGTAACCTATTCAAAGAAATATGAACAATGAAGAATGACAAAGGTAAATAAACCAGATGTCAATTAACAAAGAAGTATCCTAAATACTGCCTCTGCACATAACCCACATAATAGTTCCAGGAAGCAAAGGATGTGGATTTATTATTTTGCAGTTGGAATACCAGTCCATTAACTAGAGATTACTATGTATAGTAGGGGTAATGCTTTTTCTGGCTTGTGAGGTCTGAAATGCAGTAAGAATTATATAAATAATCTTTGAATTTGCAGTGATAAAGCACATCTCAGGAACTATCATATAGTTCAAAACAAGCAACTTCAATAAAAGATCTAATGTTGTTTACAAAGTTGCATTTCTAGCATAATTTTAATAGCTTCCATTTCATTGTTCTCTTTTAAATAGAACTGAGATATCTTAAATATATGCTTCTAAATTACAAACTCATTTCTCTGGTCTTCGTAAACAAGGATTTTTATGTGAGATGATTAACTTTGGGAATGGCCCAATTTCAATACAAACCAAATTAGTAAAATAATGATTTAGAGAAACTCACAGAGAAACTTTTAATCCCTTCAGAGATTAAAAGACAAAGTATATTATTAGGTTACATAACAATTTTGTATTTTTTTCTCAAATAATTCATGCATAGTGAAACTTGTACTATACAGCCTCTATATAGCCTTTTTTTTTTTT